CAGATTGCCCAGTGGATAACGTCTGTGACTGTAAAACTGGGTGACATGGGATGGAATCTGTCAGCTAGCATCAGTTCCCTTAAGATTACAGGTACATCTTGTTGACGAGTGCCAAGTTAGCATGAAACCTAGATGCATGGTTTCCCGTTGGCTACCTCCAACCAATATCTTACATATATTTATATATTATTTATCCATCGGTCTTTACATCTTATCATTATGTGAAAAATATTTCTATGTATGTATTTAAGTATTATTTTCGAGCTACAATCATCAGTCACAATATTTCCTAAAATATGTTCTTGGGGAATTTTGTATATTGGCCTAATAACATTCACAACATTCAAAAAAGTAGAAGCAGTCAAAGATCATTTCTTAAAATAGTCACTTTACTTAAATAATATAGTTGCTCCATTATTATCCCAGTTCTATTTAATTATATACCCTACTGTTATGATATAGAAGGTAATTTTTTGTTGTTGATAATATTACTCACTTATTAACTTTATTTCGGTATGAATTAGATACGAGGAGGTGAGATGTTATCTTAGTGATTAAAATCTATTTAGAAAATTATAATGGTAGATTAATATTTCAGATGGTTATGAATTACAGTTAACTGGTAAGCTAGTTTCATCCTTTTCAATAAGCATTATATATATATTTACGCCTTTAACCCCTCATGGAGGAGCATTGGCCGCCTACCAGCACTCTCCATCTAACCCTGTCGTGAGCAGTCTTATGCAGTTGCTAGTCATCCTGCTAATGTCTGACTCTGATCATTGTTGTCTACGAAATTGAGAGGACGAAAAGCGAATGTCTAATGCTTTAACTGGGCTGGTGAACACTGAGATTTTACCTAGGGGAGTTGGATCACCCTGATTCAAAACCAATGGTGCACATGGGCTCCAGTATCCTACGAGGCCAAATGGCGTGTAGTGACTCACATTTATCACGAGAACACGACTGGTTTAATAAAAACAATTATTATTATCACCAACTGTACCAGTGCTTGTTTTAATGTGCTTTTGTTTGACTGTGCTAATGACAGCTATATTGTGCTTCCATTCTTATACTTACACTTTGATTGTGACTTCGCGCGAATTCGGTTACGTTCTGTAACCAAGGTTGTATCCTGGCACGATCTCGGTATCCTTTCGATGCCACGAGATCGCCAGCAAATAAACATCGATTTGGTCCATTAATTGCCTTCTGATATTTGGCTTCTCGGGGATTTTATGGATTTATTTGGTTACGTTCAACCTTCTCCTTCTTATTTACTTGGCACGTGTTTCTTGGCAGCGGTGTTCATAGGTAATCCCGACTCGACGCCACGCTACATGCGTATGAACCAATCGTTGGTCACTGGCTACCATGAGACTGCATCTCCTTACGATGCCCCACTGCCTTGTGGAGCAGACCTGTAGGTCTAAGTTTCTGGATGTGTCCTCCTAATAAGACCACGTGCTTCGGTTTGGGCACCCGTTCGGTATCACATTTTTCACAAGAATCAACTGAGATTTGTGTGGCGCATATGTATTTGGTGCCCCCTTGTACCAATATCTACGTGTCCGAATAAATAAATAAATAAAATGACTCGGATTCCCAACGTGTTCGTTGATTTTCCTCTTTTCCGTTTCCCTTCAAGATTCGAAGTGTTGGCTTCCCTCGTGATGCCGTTTGATTTCCGTAGTGCGTGTCCTGTACAATTTCAGCGTCTATTCCTAATTTTCTCTTCAGATGGAAGCTGGTTTGTCCTATCCTATGTTTATATAATTTTCAATATTTATTCAGTATTTCGACTGATTCAATTTTTCGATAAGCCTGTATATATGTGAGATTTAACTGACAATATTCTTTCAGGAATTCGACAGGAAATCTTTGAATTATGCTTCTTGCTAGTCGGAACTTGTCAGAGAGTTGGACTTATAGTCTTATGAGAACTAATGCTACGTTTCGGATTTGAAACTGGCTCCTCAGTTTGAGCCATCATTACTGAGATGTCTAGATTGATCGGTTACTGCGTAATGACTAATGCCATGTTTGTCTAGTCCTTTAGTGCTGGGTAAATCCAATCGATCAAGTTACAATTTGGTCACTAGTCTAAGTGCAAAATTATGACTCAATATATTTAAAAGCCAGATGGTTATTTCGTTTGACACTTTATCCATTTGATGAAAATGAAAACCACACCAGTGTGTGTAAAATAATACCTAAGTCTAATCTAAATAGCGAAAAACATTATCTTTAATTTCAGTATGCTCTACATGAGATGAGAATTGTTAAGTTATCAAGTTTACAGTCAAGTTACCCTGAATAAGATTTTCATATTTGTATTTCATATACCCATATCCGATCTTAGTAAACCGTAATTGGTTAATGAACACAGATAGATATTTTGTGTGTATATCTTGTTAAACACCTCCCCAACTTTATTCTTTATCGTTACTTAATGGAAATTGCTCAAGAATAAGCTGTATTCTTGGCAGATATTTCGTTGGATTGTAAGAGAATTGTCTCGTGTTCGGTTCTATATCGAAAGACGAATTACACATGCCTAACGTTACACACATTTCTTCACCTTTGGCTGAACCTCACGAAAGCAACCCGTAAATCTTTCGGTTTTGTATGATAATATTTCCGTGGCAATGACCTTTTGGTTTTTCATTTAACTTGGACAAAAACAATCAGATATGAGTCAGTGGCGTCCTCTGAGTTGTGAAGTAGAATTTGTGTGGTGTTTGAATGAACTAATGATACCTTAGTACTTGTTGAATGCTCAATTTCGAATTCCAAATACAATACATTCGTTTGTGCTTGTGTCTCACTTCTCAATTCAATTGCGTTGTTTCTGTTACTCTTAGTTCGTGCTATAATTCAAATAATTCAAAACATAATAATTTGTTATCCCAAAAGATTGTAGCGGTAAATAAATACCCTAAATAAATAGCTCTGTATTTCTTCGACATTGGATGCTGACCGTATTAGTTTTATTGAATTTGCCTAACAGAAGGCGCTCGGTGATGCATCCGCACCAGATCACGAATGGGATGGCCATGCTCAACATCTCCTGCAATCGCTAGCCAGTCTAGATCAGTCGATTCAATTTTTATTACTAGCCTATCATATATATCTTCGAAACTCCTCGCTTCTGAATTTCAATTTCACTAAGTGCATACAATTCATAGTAGAAGGTTTTATTGGTTAAAGAGTTGCCGAACTCTGAATACCCGTGGCATCTTAAAGGTGTTTTCTGCACGGTAATATGCTATTAGAAACTCATTTAAAACGGATTAGTATCTTAAATGAGATAATGAACTGATCAGTATCGAACCGCCATTGAGAATCGGGAAGGATATAACGACCATTTCGTCCCAGCATGGGGCTGCTCAGAAGTACGTATCCAAAGTCCCGTGAGCGGGAATGAAACCCAGGATCCTCGTGGTTCCTCACGAGAGTTACAACTGCAGCTCAACAGGATTCTCAGAAGTAGATCTGACGGCTGACTCCAAGTATCAGCTATACTGTAAGAAACTGCTTCAATCTTTGCCGAGCCGCTTAATATTGTATTCGCTAAGCCTAATCACAGTCTCAAGAAATCGGAAGCTCGTGCACATTGAACCAATTTTCAAAGGAGGTCAATCCAGTGAACCTTCAATCTCCCGACCAATAGCACTTCTCTCCACACCCTCAAGAGTTATGAAGTCCCTGAAGTGCGATGGTCTGCATGATTACTTACTGTCAATAAACTTCTCTTCAATCCAACAGCACGGTCTCGGACAAGGTTACTCTTATGTAACCAACCAGTTGAATGCTGTGGACAGATGGACAAGCATCGACGATCACAAGGAGAAGGCCGACGCATTTAATAGGATCATTTATAAATGTTTCACCAATAATTAACAAGTTCTCATTTATAGGCTGGTTTAAGTCGTATCTAAATAACCGACTATGATGGAGTTTTGCTCTCTGAGATGGATCGTTTGGTCATCGAGCTTTCATCGTCCTTCTGAAAGACATCTGTACAAACTGCAGGTTGAAGTGAAGTGTGTCTCCCATCTCTTCATCCATCTGAGCTACGAATCATCCCCGCCATCTCAAAATAGTCGACTTATTGGGGTGAACCTAACTTCCACTTCTCAGGCTACAGAAAATCCTAGTGGGAACCCCTGCGATTCAGAATGGTCCGACTCGACTAAAAAGTTGAACCGATAATGAAAGGCTTTCTTTCAAAACCTCAAAGTGTAATGTACTCTATCTGAGACATGGTGTACAGTACGAATAAAACTCAGGCAACACATCGCTTGAGGCATCTCAGGTTGATTAAAATCCGGGAACATTGGTACTCTATGGTCTGAAAACGTAGGCTATCTGAGACAAAAGTGCCTTCCTTGTGAACCTTGCACTGGTAACTTTTAAAAGCATTTTTCACCAGTTCGATGGTAGAACTATCTACGTAACCTTTAAATTTTCCTCAACCTCATTTAGGGTATGGAAATATGGTTCACTGGAACGCATCCAACCACGAGTCTCGAAATGAGTTCGGTTACTCACATTCAAGCCTTATGGAGAGTGCCTGAAATCATTCAACCTTTATCTATTAGAGTAAAGGCGTTTCAGAGATGCCCTAATGACTCACAGTATCAGTAAAACTTCAGGGTATCCCTTTAAATACATACGTTAGCTCAGTTCCAACGCAAAACTTGGGAGTAATACCTAGAAATAGAAGACAGAACAATGCAGAAAAGAGGTCTGCGAGAGTATCCGAATGTCGAGATTTACTACCGGCTGAGCTATTTCAAGCGACTTTCTGGAAGTCATTTATGAGAAAACCTGACATATACTTAAGGACTAAGGATGAAATCTCGCAACAACTTACTAACATTTTTTTGCTTTCATCGCTAAATATGTCTATATTTCTACCTGTCAGTATCGGTGATTCACTGCTACTAGATATGGAAGCCCATTATTTGAACCTTCTTCTAATCCATCCAGATCCATTTGGAACGTTTAGGCGCTACATTCGCCTCAAGGTCGTTCAGTGTAACTGGTTGCTTGTGGGTTAGTGTTTCATTGGATTTGTACTAAATGTAAGTTCTTACCACAATCTTTCTGAGTTATCATTTCACGTCCGATGTAATCCAGTCTTCCGGTATCTCAGTACTGTCTATACGAAATGTTTCCCTTAGGTTTTAATAACAAACACAGACCTGTCATCAACATAGCTACTGTACAACTTCATTGTTCAAAAACTGAAGCTGTATTTTTGCTCACTGTGTAACTTTAAAAGCTTACTGTTGTTAATGGCTCACATTTTGTTGGTACTAGACGGATTATATACACTTCCAAACTTAGCATCTCTCAAAGGTCGTCCATAAAATATAGTCTCACCGATTTTATTTCAGTATACTGAGTTACATCCATCCCAGTTGCTTCAAAAATCATACTTTTGCTCGATAAAAAGTCAATGTTTGCCTCATTTACGCTAGAATGACGAATGAATGTTAGATGTTTATAGCTGAAATGCTATTATCAAAGATACAAATAACATATTTTGGACACCAAACTCGGATTTATTTACTGATGTCTTACTGTAGAACACCAACAATGTTTTTAACTGTTTTTGTAACATTTATGCAGGATGTCTCCGACTTTTACGCACAACTAAAAAGATTTAGGAGGAAGAACATATTACTAGGAGGAAAACTTAAATTTCGAGGACCAGGTCATATAATAATCCAGAAAATCAAAAGTCTGTAATTTACTAACGGCTTCTGAGTGACGCCGGGGTGACCTTGGGCGTCCACCCAATAACTAGGACTAAATGGGGGTTATAAATCAGTGAGGAATTAGAATTATGATTTACAGTTGATGATTAAGGTTAAGAATGTGATATAGAGTTTTCACCGTCCCAGTATATAAGAGAGGGTCAAAATCACCCTGTGACAACCATAGAGGGATTAGTTTAACTAATATAATATCTAAAATACTAGCCTCGATAATTATCAGACGCCTAACTAAGACTCGTGAACTGCAAACACGAGAGTATCATCTTGGCTTTGAGACCTGGTCGTGGCTGCATCGACCACATATTCACCATTCTTCAGGTTCTAGAACACAGGCATACTTATCGGTGTCCGACAATGGTGGTCTTTCTTTACTTGAAAGCAGCATTTGACTCGGTAGACCGCGAGATTCTGTGGCAGTGTCTGTCATTGAAAGGCGTACCACAGAAGTACATAAACCTTGTGTAGGCTCTTTACTCGAACACTACCAGTCGAGTCAAAGCTTATGGCGAACTGTCATCTGCTTTTGCAACCTCAAGTGGTGTTCGTCAAGGCTGTCCACTTTCTCCATTTTTGTTTAACTTCATCATAGACCTATTGATGGGAATAACATTCTCGTCTACCGAATTCTCGGGTATTGATCTCCTACCAGGAGGTCCACTTATCGACTTAGAATACGCAGATGATATAGTCCTGTTTGGTGAAGACGCTGATAGAATGCAGAGTCTTTTGGTAGCACTGAGCGAAAATGCCAGAATGTTTGGAATGCGCTTCTCTCCCTCTAAATGCAAGTTGTTGCTTCAGGACTGGTCTGCGTCAACACCTGAACTAAGGATAAGGAATGAAGTTGTCGACGCGTTCGACAACTTCACTTATCTTGGAAGTCTGATCAGCCCTAATGGGTTAGTGTCTGACGAAATCTCAGCACGGATTCAAAAAGCTCGTTTAGATTTTGCCAACTTACGTCACCTATGGCGAAGGCGAGATATCCGTTTATCAATAAAAGGACGAGTATACTATGCGGTAGTCCGTTCTGTTTTAATTTACGGCAGCGAAACATGGCCATTAAGAGTAGAAGACACTCGTAAGCTACTAGCATTTGACCACAGATGCCTCAGAAATATTGCTGGTGTCTGCTGGGACCACCGGGTAAGTAATAGTGAGGTTCAACGCATGGTATTAGGGAATGATGGTAAATCAGTTGATGAGGTTATGAATCTTCATCGACTGAGATGGTTGGGCCACGTGTTACGTATGCCTGAACACGGATTACCACGACGTGCAATGCTAACCGTTGTTCGGGATGGTTGGAAGAATGTTAGAAGCGGGCAAACCAAAACGTGGCATCAGTGCTTGAAGTCCCTAACTTCTAGTCTGAGCCATATTGGGAGATGCAGACTACTTGGTTGGGGTCCGCGTGACTATCGTAATCAATGGTTGGAGACTCTTGATGACATGGCTCAGAATCGATCACAATGGCGTCGGTGTATACACTCTCCGTCTTTTCTTAACCTAAGAGATTAAAATCGCTTCATATCTTTCTTTCTTAACTAATTCTTTCTTCCTGTACTATATCCTTTTTGCAATCTTTGAGCTGGATAGTTTGGTCGTGGAACTTTCACCGTTCTTGTGAACAACATCATCAGCACAAACTTCAAGTACCTGTGAAGTGTTCGAATTTCACCAAATATGACTCCCAGCTTTTTCTGTAGGCCTCGATCTTGATTGGTTATTATTGACCTTTAGCCTGTCATTAAATTTCTCCGTTTTATTTTATCTCCCATTGATTTGATTCTTGGTCTCTTGGTCTTCTTATATTTTGGTAATATCAAAAAATGTTTTCTTTTAATTAAAAGTTAACTTATCATATGAAGAGTGTGTCTACTTTTTGCTTTACTCGGCTTGTACTTTAACGCTTCGTAAATTCTTGTGTAATACTTATTATCCTTTACTGCCTCCTATTATCCTTACCCGTGCTTTTGTGGAAAGATTTTAATGTGTTCCAGAGAATGCTAAAAACAGTTAGTAGGGTGGGCAATGAATCTTTTGATATCGTTGTATGATTGTGGATAAACGTTTGAAATCCTGCATACAACTAAGAGAGACTTTCTGTGAAATGGCTCAAAATTGTTCTCAATGACGCAGGTTCATCCAGTCTCTGTCTTCCCCTAGATCCTAAGCTTCTAAATCCCTCATAAGGTTTTTCGTTTCATTAATTTATGTAGTCGTGAATCTTATCTTCAACCCCTAAGCTATTGTATTGCGATTTATATTATTACTACCCCTAATACTCTGGGATTCGCTATGGTGTACGCCAACTTGAACTGATGTACATATGTACTAGGTTCTGTTTTGCGTTTGAGTGACTGAAACAACTAAAAAGTCTTATCATATACCAACCATCAAGACGATTCACATTTTTCTGGATATCTTCCGGTGAAACAAGATCCCGATACACTAGAATTCTTGGGTACAGGTGAAAGTGCAAAAGCTCTATATAAGTGTACCTAGCACATCTATTATTTGATAAACAAATTGTAAGAGCTGATATATTCTTGAATATGTTGTGTAGATTCTTAATTCTTTACAAAGATTTAATTGAATGTTCTATAATGTTATATATGCATGTCTACTTGTAACGTATAAAAAAGCACTTGGAAGCTTGTTGAAATATTGTATGCTGATAACTCCGTATTCTTATTACTGAGTAGAAAAAAACTCGGTTTTAAAGCTCAATTGTCTTTAAAGCATAGATATTTTATGGCAGCGACATTTATATCTGTCGCATATAGCATGTTTTTACGTAAATAGTATATAGTTTCTAACAAGTCACGACCCGAATTAATAAATACGGATATTGATCGTTTTCAGTTAAAACTACGAGAATAAAGTCGAAAAGATTTGTAAGCTCACCATAGTCATATGATAGTGGGGAAATAGAACTTTACTTTCTTCACTAATAGCCAAGTAAAGTACGCTGTAAAAATCTGTTATTATCGATAGTTTTACTTTTTATATCTAAATATTCTTCATTCTTGATCTCCAGAGGTGTACAATTCATACACATTAATCAACATTACCGAAACTACCTTAGTTGGAGGAAAGATGAGAACTTTCAAACCAAGACACGGCACTTGCTCACGAAGTCATGGATTGTTGGTGTAAACCATGTTGGTAGTTGTAGATTACCTGATCTAAACCACTTTTGTTTCTCTCACCTACCATGTGATCTTGGAACACCAATTGATCTTTTCGGCCTTGAAGCAGCAACTTACGGATTCATCTTTCTCAGAAAAGGTGGACTCTAAAAATAGAACACCACCTCCTGTCACCGGAGTAAGGCCCTAAAATTTAAGAATTAACGTCAAGAACTCAAAAGTAGGTCACGTGTAAACGGCCCTAAGCAGCTATCCTTTGAATATTGTACTTATGCCCTCAGGTCGTCAAGACAACACATAGTCTCCTTTTCAAGTACCTCATAAAGTATCCTTCCACAGTTTGGGCACTCAAGAAGTCGAAACCATCCTTATACCTGTCACAATACTAAAAATAATGTCATTCACGTGGCGGTGTTTTTGCAAAGGTAAAAGGACGAAAAACGGATATCTGTAAATTTGATTTGTGAATGAATAGGGAGGATTTAGCTAGGATTGTTAGTAAACCTTTATTCAAATAAATAAAGCATATAGACCGCAGGATCCTGAAGAAACATGGTATTCAAACCCATTTTGAATCTCCTGTTATTGTTCTGCTATCTTGTGGATTAAAACTCTAGGTCAAAGGCCAGGAGGGGCTCTCCGGTAGCATTCCAGTCGATACGCAGACATGATAATGATTTTTAGTGGAGAGGATATCCTTCCTCCGATTCAATATACTCCAGATGAGGTTGCTGATAATACTCGGAACAAACACTTATTGATCCATTGTACCACTGCTTGAACTGTTTTCGCCAAGGTGTGATCATCAGAAATGTCAACCATAGAAATCAAACTGACTAAACTTGTTCGACGCCTCATTTTTCTGAAAAGAAGTATAGAAAACACAGACACAGTGGTTTCATTTAGCTTTTGCTAAAATTGTACCTAATGAATTCCTTGAGTAAATTGTGATGATGCTAAACATACATAAATAAGACAAACCAGTTGCTGATAATTGCATCAATTATTGTTAGTAATTAGTTGTTAGAAATGCATCGCAATGGTTTTTATTTATTTATTTATTTGAACACAAATATTGGCACGAAGAAGCACCGAATACATATGCTCCACACAATTCACTTGATTTGTGTGTGGTCTATGTTACTGCCCTGGTGCCCAAACCGAAGCAGGTAGTTTTCTTAGGGGGCCACATCCAGAACCTTCGACCTAAATGTCTGATCCAAAAGGCAGTGGAGCAACATCAGGAGATGCAGTCCCATGGTAACCAATGATTGGTTCATACGCCATTTTTTCCTTCAGGATCCTGTAGCCTATGTGCACCATTGGTTTTGAATCAAGGTTTTCCAACTCCCCTAGGTGAAATCTCCGTGTTCACCAACCCAGTTTACGTGCCGGACTTTCGCTTTTCGTCCTCTCAATTTCTTAAACAATAGTAATGTCACTAGAAGTCATTGAGTGGGACTTCTCTGGAAGTGGTTGTATGCACGTGGCGATGCGAGAGCATTTGGAGAGGGAAAGCCAACTCTTCCTTTATTAATTTGTTATTCTATATTTTTAATCGTTTCAGTATCTTACTACGTCTATACTTATGAAGTATAATAATTTAAACTAATGCATATATGTGTAAAGTTTGTATTCTTTCGTTTTATGTGGAGTAATCTATTTTTTAGCAGAAGTATAGTAAAAAAAAAGTTAAAACTGTTAATCTAAGGTTTTGGTAGAATTATTTGATAGTGACATGTAAGTAATACAGAAATTATTGTACCTTAACTAATTTAAAGAGGTTAATATTTACAAAAGCAACAATATTTCATTAGACATTTATGAACTCATTACTGATGTTTGCAAATGTATATAGTTACTTACTTACTTACGCCTGTTACTCCTCGTGAAGGAGCATAGGCCGCTCACCAGCGTTCTCCATCCAACCCTGTCCTGGGCAATCCTTTCTAGGTCCGTCCAGTTGTAATTCGTCGTTTTCATATCTGCTTCTATTATCCGACGCAGTGTGTTCTTTGGCCTTCCTCTTTTTCGCTTCCCCTCAGGATTCCAAGTTAGGGCTTGCCTCGTGATGCAGTTTGACGATTTGCGTAATGTATGTCCTATCCATTTCCATCGTCTTTTCCTAATTTCTTCTTCAGCTGGAAGTTGGTTTGTTCTTTCCCACAGAAGGCTGTTGCTGATGGTATCCGGCCAATGGATGTTGAGTATCTTGCGAAGACAGCTATTTATAAATACTTGTACTTTCTTGATTGTGGTTGTTGTAGTTCTCCAAGTTTCAGCTCCATACAGTAGAACTGCCTTGACGTTCGTATTGAAGATTCTCACTTTGATATTGGTTGAAAGTTGTTTTGAGTTCCATATGTTCTTCAATTGTAGGAATGCGACCCTTGCTTTGCCGATCCTCGCCTTTACGTCTGCATCTGAGCCTCCTTGTTCATCGATGATGCTTCCCAGATATGTGAAGGACTCTACATCTTCCAGAGTTTCGCCATCAAGAGTGATTGGATTGCTGTTCTCCGCTTTGAATTTGAGGACCTTAGTTTTCCCTTTGTGTATGCTGAGGCCTACTGATGCAGAGACTGCTGCTACACTGGCTGTCTTCATCTGCATCTGTTCGTGTGTACGTGATAGGAGGGCTAGGTCATCTGCGAAGTCCAAATCGTCTAATTGATTCTGAGCTGTCCATTGTATTCCGTGTTTTCCTTCAGATGTTGAGGTCTTCATAATCCAGTCGACCACCATAAGAAAAAGGAAGGGAGAGAGTAAACAGCCTTGTCTGACTCCGGTCCTTACTTGGAATGCATCTGTCAGCTGTCCTCCATCCACTACTTTGCACTGTAGTCAAATGTATATAGTAGATGCTAATAAAAGGCAATGAAAAGCGATGTTACTATTGTTTGTTCAAATGATTTGACTAATTGAATCGACATGCGTCTATATGACATTTTTAAACTAAATTTTATCAATTGATACCTATTCCAAGAATTTTTAAAAATTTTCCCCATCCTTTTACAGTACACTATTTGGATTCAATTAAATGTCAACATCTTCTGGAAGTGGAAGTAGACGTAATCGGTTGAATCTTACACTTCCGAGTTCTGTTATCCAATCATCAGATAATTGTTCTACAACAGATAAAAAATCTGAAGAACCTGTCACAAATGCCGAGTTGAATAAATCTTCAGATAGTTTACAAGAATCATTACAAAGGAATGGAACTTCAAAAGCTACATCATTATCAGATAAATTAGATGATAATAATAATCTAACGAATTCATCTCAGCCTGTGAAAACATCTCAACAAACTAGTATCTATCGACCAAGTGCTCATCATTCACATCCACATTCTGTGCATCGTAGAATCCCACCACCACTCACAGATCTTCGTTTGTCTCCAAAGAAAACCCATACGCCGTCAAACGATAGTCTATTTGGCTCGAGAGGCGATCGAAACAATGAACATCGTTATTCAAATAGGATCAGCACAGGACCTGTTGATGTTGCTGAAGTGTAGGTTCTATGTATATATACTTGTGTTAAATAGTTTTATTTGCACGTCTTTTTGTATTCTGTTGTGTACTTATTTAGTAATAATACACCATAATACCACATAGCTTTCAGTGCATCGTCGAAAGACAAGTACTTCTAGATGAGTTGTAAGAGCTCTATCGAAATGGATTTATAGTCGTTTATTCATTACACATCTAAACACCTGAATTAATAGATCCGTTGCTTGGTGCAGATCGAATGTTTGTAACTGGCATTATCAAATCTATGATAGGTCTTATCACATGATATTATTCGTAGTCTTCTATGAACTACAAGGCTATGACTTCCCTTCTTCTCTGTAAGATAATCCTCGAGTGCACAAGGCCTTTCTCTGGATAGCAGGTCCACACTACCACCTACCTACATCGATCAGAGCTGTTTCCAGAACGTCATCGATAGCGAAGTTGAAGAGGAATGGTGAAATTATGCAACCCTGCCTTACTCCACTACTTGAATGAAACAATGAAGAGAGAAGTGGTTTTATGTCGTCATCCTGCCTGAGGTGTTTGTATGTAAGGCTTTCAAAATGTTAATAAACTTCCCATGTACAGCCTTCTTCAACACAAGAGAATTCCTATTCTACGAGTCGAATTTGACCATAATATCAAGGACCACCACAATTGTTAGCCTGCCCCCAAATGCCCTGGTATGGCCGAGAGTGGGATGGGCCCGCCCCCCCTCTCGAAATGCTCTCACACGGCCACGCGTATACAGCCTCTGCCAGGGAAGTCCTACTCACTACCTTCTCGTGAGGGGGGGGGTGTTGTCTACGAAAATGAGAGGACGAAAAGCGAGTGTCTGGCGCTTTAACCGGGTCCCACTGCCTTGTGGATCAGACTTTTAGGTCAAAGGCTCGGCGTGTGGCTCCCTAAGAAAACCACCCGCTTCGGTTTGGGCACCCGTTCAGTATCACGGTTCACACACAAATAAAATGAAAATGACGATATTTATTAAAAATTCTATTCTCGCTTCGATTTACAGATATTGTAGTACTAGCCGGAGACTTGAATGCTCAGGTCGGGCGTCTAGGCACAGAAGAGAGTCGTTTAGGTGGCCGATGGGGAGTTGTTGGTCGCAGGTCAGATAACGGGGACCGTCTACTGCAACTGTGCACAGACCACAACCTATTTCTGGCTAGCACTAACTTTCGGCACAGTCATCACCCATGTGTCACCTGGCGTCCTCCGTCTGCGTCTCAAGCCTGGACTCAGATTGATCACATCGCGATCAGCTACCGCTGGTGTGGTTGTGTACAAGACTGCCGCTCCTTTTGAAGTACCTATCTGGACTCTGTTCATTCCCTGGTCCGCGCCAATCTTACCTTACTTTTCAGTGGCCAACGAAGTGATCGCCACCAAAGGATTGATGTCAGCAAGTTGGTTGCAACTTCTGTTGCAAGTAAGTATCGGACTGAGCTAGCTTCTAGGCTAGCTACCATTCCACCTAAAAGTATAGATGATCATTGGTTGCAATTGCATGACGCCATGAAAATAGCGGGTACAGTCAGTTGTGGGTTCGCGAAACGTCCCGCTTATAAGCACTGGGTTTCTTCAGGCTCCTTACAACTCATTGAAGCCCGTCGGTCTACTCCGGGTGACCGTGAGTTTGACCACAAACGAAGGTTGTTACGCAGTGAAATTGGGCAAAGCTTGCGTAAGGACCGAGAAGCCTGGTGGTCGGAGCGTGCTAATGAGCTGGAAGCAGCAGTTGCATCTGGTAATTACTGGAAGCTCTTCCAACTCATCCAAGCCACTGGTAGCAAGAAGTCTGGCGTGAGTGAAACAATCTGCGAGGATGACGGGATGCCAATCATTAACATCCGTCGACGTCTTGGACGATGGGCAGAATTTTTCGAAGGGCAGTTCAACTGGCCTGCTGCTCCGGCAACATCGGTCAGACTGTCCTGCCCTCCATGGCCGGTGACGACTGATCCACCAAATGAGGCGGAAGTCCGCAAGGAAGTCCAACTCCTGAAGCGTTACAAGTCACCTGGCCCAGATGACTTACCTCCGGCTCTTTTTCAAGATGGTGGTGACTTTCTGACTAAGAAACTGACAACGTTGTTTACAAAGGTCTGGGAACTAGAGAGTGTACCAACGTCATGGAATGAGTCGATATTTGTCCCTATCTTTAAAAAGGGTTCACGTCGTTCCTGTAACAACTATCGGGGGATAAGTCTACTTCCGATTGCGTCCAAGCTATTTGCTTCCGTCATACTTCGTGGGTTGTTCAAAACCCGAGAAAGATTGACTCGCGAAGAGCAGGCTGGGTTTCGTTCTGGTCGAGGATGTATTGATCACATCTTCATCCTCCGCCAAATGTTAGAACACCGCCATACTTTTCAAAGGCCAAAAATCGTAGTGTTTCTCGACATCAGGGCTGCCCTCGATTCGTTGGATAGGACTGTTCTCTGGGATTGTCTATTGAAGAAGGGTGTGTCTGAGAAGTTTATTAACATTTTAAAGGCCCGATATACAAACACCTCAGGCAGAGTGAGGGCATACAACCACTTTCCTCCACTGTTTCATTCAAGCAGTGAGGTTAGTCAGGGTTGCCCAATCTCACCATTCCTCTTCAACTTTGCCATCGACGACATTCTGGAAACAGCTTTGATGGATGTAAGTAATGGCGGTGTGGATCTGTTGCTTGGAGAAAGACTTCTCGACCTTGAGTATGCGGACGATATTGTCTTACTGTGCGATAATGCCCAAGGCATGCAATCCGCACTTAATCAGTTGGCAATCAATGTTCGTAGGTACGGTATGTGCTTTGCACCTTCGACGTGCAAAGTACTTCTACAAGACTGGCAGGATTCCAATCCTGTACTCAGCCTGGATGGTGAGCAGATAGACGTAGTCGAGAAGTTCGTGTATCTGGGTAGCTACATAAGTGCTGGTGGCAGCGTGAATGATGAGATCAATGCACGTATAGTAAAAGCCAGAGCGGCTTATGCCAATCTGAGCCATCTTTAGCGCCTTCGTGATGTTAGTCTGTCTGTAAAAGGTCGGATCTACAACGCCTTGGTGAGAGAAGTTTTATTCTATGCTTGTGAAACCTGGCCTCTCCGAGTTGAGTACGTTGGACGACTCTGTGTTCGTTCATCGTTGTCTTCGAAGGATTGCTGACATCCAGTGGCAACACCATGTTAGTAATGCAGAGGTTCGGCATCAAGTGTTCGGGCACAGAGACGATAATTCAATGTATAGCTAAACTTTTAAACTTCATTCAAAATAAGTACTAATTTTCAACTTCAATTTCTTTTTTTTTTCTTTTTATAATTAGTTTAAAACAATTAGCAATACAAGATTTAGATGATAATCAACGACGTCGATTAAGTGCATTTGTAGCAGATAAACAAAAAATTGGTGAATTACATCCGGAAGATTTTGAAAAATTAAATGAATTAGGTAAAGGTAATGGTGGTGTAGTTAGTCGTGTACGTCATACAACAACTGGTTTAATTATGGCTAAGAAAAATATTCATTTAGAAATTAAACCAATTGTTAAAACACAAATTATACGTGAATTACAAGTAAGTTATTGTATTAACTAATAATAATATGAATGAATTTTATATTTTTTTATTCTCTATTCAATTTCATTATAGACTTATGACTAGAAATAACCTTTTTTGTCATCTGAATATTCAAGAATTGATCTACTACCAGGAAGGTTCACTTATCGACTTAAAATACACAAATGACATAATCGTGTTTGGTGAAGATGCTGATAAAATGTAAACTCTTTTGGTAGCAATGAGCAACAATGTCAGGATGTTTGAAATGAGTTTCTTTCCCTCTAAATGCAAGTCGTTGCTTCAAGACTGGTCTGCTTCAACACCTGAACTAAGGATAGGGAATGAAGTTGTCGACGCGTTCGACTACTTCACTTATCTTGGAAGTCTGATCAGCCCTAATGGGTTGGTGTCTGACGAAATCTCAGCACGGATTCGAAAAGCTCGTTTAGATTTTGCCAACTTACGTCACCTATGGCGAAGGCGAGATATCCGTTTATCAATAAAAGGACGAGTATACTATGCGGTAGTTCGTTCTGTTTTACTTTACGGGTGTGAAACGTGGCTATTAAGAGTAGAATACACTCGTAAGCTATTAGTATTTGACCACAGATGCCTTAGAAATATTGCTGGCGTCTGCTGGGATCACCGGGTAAGTAATAGTGAGGTTAGACGCATGGTATTAGGGAATGATGGTAAATCAGTTGATGAGGTTATGAATCTTCATCGACTGAGATGGTTGGGCCACGTGTTACGTATGCCTGAACACGGATTACCACGACGTGCAATGCTAACCGGTGTTCGAGATGGTTGGAAGAAAATTAGGGGCGGCCAAACCAAAACGTGGCATCAGTGCTTGAAGTCCCTAACTTCTAGTCTGAGCCATGTTGGGAGATGCAGACTACTTGGTTGGGGTCCGCGTGACTATCGTAATCAATGGTTGGAGACTCTTGATGACATGGCTCAAAATCGATCACAGCAGTGTAGGTGTATACACTCTTTGTCTTCCCTTAAACTAAGAGATTAAAATCGCTTCATATCTTTCTTTCTACGAACTAGTTCTTTCTTCCTGTACTATATCCTTATACACTATCTTTCTTTTATATATTACTACCATTGAAGTAACTGCTTCTATGAATATGATGTTCATGTTGTTGTGCTAATGAGGTGTGACGACTTGGACCAATGCATATATATGCCTAGTCCTACGTTGTAGCTGACTGACTCTTTTTCTCTTAATTACTGTTTCTTTGTGTTTAGATGAAACGTTTATTTGTTTTCATTTCCATATTGTAGTTTAGTTGAAGTTGATAGTATTCAGTCAGTAGTACGTCACAGACTGGAACTCTACTTCATTTAATTTAGTTCCCCCTTCTGATTACTAACACTGTCACCTTTTTCACATATATATTGTCTGTCAAGACTGTGTAAATAATCCCTCACTAAGTGTGATAATTCGAATAGCACAATATGTTCGTCCTTTTTATGTATTGTCTAACTACTAAGTAAATGGATTGTACAACTCCTATGGTATACAATATCTCATAATTTCCACTTTATACTAATCTTTGTTTTAGTTACCGAACACTTGAGATTAAACATAAACAAATTTAAAGTTCTTTTTCCTACTAATCCTATCAGTAGTGGTCTTACAATGAAGAATTAGATAAATATTTATACAGTAATTCGGTTTTTAAAATGGTTAGAGGTCGTTTCTAGGATATCTTGTTTGACTTAGGTTTCATGATGGTAATAGGGTACTTGCCAACAGAGTATACCTTTAGTACACTATGTCTGACTCCATAATGATGGAATTATATTTATGTTAATGAAATGTATATCCTATTTACTTTGTATATATTCTGTCGGCGCATCCCGTTAATACCAACATACATGGAGTGGTAGAAGTAACCAACTCACTGAGTAATAAGTAACTCAGTTTTGCTAAACATGAAAGAGATGCAAATAAGTAAGTATACAAATACATGTTCAAGTATACACACATGTATAGACCATACTTAAGTTAATATAGGTCGTTTAGATGTGAAATAGTACTATATGCCACTTACCTACAATCTTGATGATTTGAAGTTATATTACTTCTAGCTTCACTATTTGAGATATTGCCATAAAGCTATTGATTCACCTCACCTTTTTATATTCATGTATTTTCTTTTCCATTGATTATTTATTTTCAGGTATTACATGATTGTAATTCACCTTACATTGTTGGTTATTATGGTGCATTTTTTGCTGATGGTGATATTAGTTTATGTATGGAATACATGGATGGTGGAAGTTTAGACATTGTTCTATTACATGCTGGTCGTTTACCTGAACCAATTGTTGCTAAAATATTATATTCTGTAATACGTGGTCTAGTTTATTTACGTGAAGTATTACATATTATACACAGGTAAGTAACATCTTGTTGTTGTTGTTGTCTTTCCTTAATTTTTTTTAATTTTGAGTGTAATATGTAGTAGTGATTATACCTTGTTATTCAAAGTGACGAAGGCGACTTGGGATTCGAAACTGTGGCTCATTGATCAAAAAGTGTTCTTGAGTTACTATTAATTCATCACTTTGAAGCTGGAAACTAAACTTTATATACTTTTTGCTTCTTCTGAAGCTAAATCTTATTCATTCATTTGTATTTTGGTCAGTTTTCTGTTACTTCTGACTAGACCATCGTTAGCTTGTGGTTAGTTTCAAGAGCCAAAAATTCGTTTTCACATTTTCTATACTTTCAGGAGAAAGTATGTAAGCTAATTTAAGGCAGTGTTTGTTGCAAGTCTTCTGAAAGAGGCTATAAATATGTCAGTATCATGATAAAGAAGATTTTTGGCTCAAGTAGTTTCATTTATCGATACTATATTCTCTAAGGTGAACTGTCTAACTGCGAAGTTCTCATTATCATTACAAACAATATCATCAGTGCCTAATTCAAATAGAACCATACCTTTTGAAATTTTTCTACATATATGTCAAACTAATCGCATCTTATGACCTTGTTTGTCACTTGTTTTCTTCATAAGGCTAGTTCGTACACTCGTCGATTGTTTTGTTTAGTTGACCTCTAGTTATTTGACCGATTGACTTTTTGTGCTTTGGTTGATAGATTCAGTATATGTTGGTTTATTTATTGATCTCAGGTTGATTTAAATACCACGCTCCTAGAAATTTTTCTAGCATCATTATATTGCGTTTTCTTAAGCAATCTATGAGTTCGTGATTTTGTACACGTATCGATGTAAGTGTTGGGCATATCTTATTTTCTACTTGTTAATCTACATTCATTGATACGATCAGCATCGTGTACGTTTTGAGATGAAGTTAAAAACATATCCATTTTCAACCATACAAAACCATTTGTACCAAATAACATTTCAAGATTATTATGCTAGACAACTTCATCAGAACAAACAACAATGAATGTTCCTCTCCCCTTAAAACATGACAATGTTTTGCTTAGATAGCCCTTAACATGATTATTTCTTCTCCAATCAATGATTATAATCACCTGTTACTTTGATATAGTGGTCAGTGTTGCATATCCTGATGATCCAATAGAGCTGTGTTAGCTCTAACATTTATTCCTTCAGATTCCACCATATTTGACGGGTCAATTGGAGGACGTTAAGACTAAAAGTAGCTAACTAATAGTCCGAATAAGAAGTTGTAGTTTTAAATGTAGTCAGTCAGATGTGACACTAATAAAGTTTTCATCAGTTTCTACCAATTTCTGTTTCGACAACTGGGTGTTACCACTAGCTCTCACATAATAAGTATAACTTAAAGCCGATTACATGAATTTGTATCCTTGTCTCCTCTTACTCTATTTCCAGTCTAGTTGACCATTTATCTCTTTACATATATAAATGTTCTTAACAAGTATATGTGTGATCAGATTGTTCGCAATGTATTCCGCTAATATATCACATAGTTCTGACAATCCATCTTTTTCGTCAAAGTAAAAAGTCATTTTACATATAGAATGTTTTGTCCTCTATCATATTCAATACATAACACCTTAGTTGTAACGAATTGTGATTTGCATAATGTCCTTTTTTGTTATCCTTATTCATTGTAGTTGATGAAATAATGATTTTATAGTTAATCAATTGTAGCGATCTCGACTATTAACTGCCAATCCTGAATAGCTATCACCTACTTCATTTTGGTTAGCTGAATGTTATTACACTTGATCCATCTTGTTTAAGTGTGATCTTTTCCATTACCAATGATACTGTTAGTAACTCTACTACTCTTAATAATTGTATCTATCTTTGCTAATGTATTGTATGGCAATTTGAACCAATGCATATATGTGCCAAATTCTATGTTGGTTTCGACTGACCGATTGATATGTATACAATTAAAACAACTTTATTATGTTCTGGTCTATTTTCTTCCTCTGTTTATATCTCCATTACTGGTCTTCCCGGTCTCCCACATTGTCCGGACGTTCCATGTACCTATAAAAATTGTTGCTCTGGTTGTTAGAATGGTCATCGACCTCGTGAATTCCGAATGAACTCGGCTTTCATATGAAGGTATCATAACTCCTCTTCTAAATAAAGTCCTTCTAACTCCCAGGGCAGAGTTTAAATGGTTTGAATTATTTTTCCTGGTTAGCGTTTTTTTAACGAGTTAGTTTTCTACAGGATGGGGTCGCTAACCCCCATGCCCAACCCTCCTCCTTTATCCGGGCTTTGGATCGATAGTAGCCTAAGAGGGACTCCAGGCGGAGTTAATACCTCCATTAAGATGGAATTATAAAAAACTGGTGTGATAATTGCGTACAAGTTACAGATGTTGGGTGATATGAATCAAAATCATTCGTACTAGTGACGTAGATGAACGGTTGATTATTTATATCCATATACATTTAGATTTTTAGTGTTACATCGCACTTTTCTATTCTGTAATTCTATCCAACTGAAATTATGCCTTTCATACTATTATGTTACTATTACCATTTCTACTATTTCAGTACTAATCCTGTTGGTTTCATTTCACTTTACTGATTTGATGTGTTAACTTGAACTGATGTAAATTTGTACCAGATTCTATGTTGATCGCTGATTGACCGAATTCATTCATGTGACCGTTATCACAGAATAAGTGAGAGGTTAAGATACAAGGGTTTGATGGACTATCGTTAATCATGAAATAGTCATTAGTTTACAGCGATTAACTCCAAGAGAACCAATCACATTTGTGGTTTAGTCAAGGAAAATTCAACGAGATTTCTCACTTCTACTACTTAATCTTGGAACAAAAATCATGCAATCATCTATACTGATTGATTTACTGTGTACTAGCCAATATTGTTTTTGTCTAATTCTTAGTGTTAATTGGTTTGTGTCAATCTATTTATTTATTTAAATCACGTATGTATTAGTATAAATTGACACTGATAAATCTTGCTAATTGAACACTATATTTAATTCCTAAGCTATTCTTGTAATCCCCAAGCTAGAACTATGCATCAACCTTAACACATGAGAAAAGGCGCAAAGTATGCGAGAATTACTTTACTCCGAAAGTTCGTTTTGGTACAGAAAATATAGGGTTTTTAAAGTGTTTCAGATGTCCTTGGGTTTCTCGAAAATTCTGGAATGCTACTAAACATAGTAGCAGTATAGTAATCATCCAATCAGGAACTCTATATGTGACTTTTCACTTTCTAGATGTTTCTGGCTAAACTTCAACTGAACGCTGATTGGATAAAATGCTTCTTAGTGGTTCCTGAGCCTTTCTTGTCTTTTGCGAGTTTTCTGGAGCACCCCAACAGACACCAAAATCAATTTACGCAACGCAAATAAGATAGTGAGATTGTAAAGATGCGGAAACCCATTAAGTTCCTTTACTGTCGAAGGGTTCTTCAAATTTTTAAGTATAGGGAATGTATATCCATTGGGATATAAAATAATAAAGATTGGTTTGGCGATTGTGAAGAGACAAAGGAAGGCAAGAAAGTATAATTAAATCAATAAATGGATAGAAATGAGTAAATGAAAATAGATTATTAGTAGGAATGACAATTCAGTTTTAAAACAATACACTTATCAAGAATTTTTTTCACTTAAGAGAGTTTCTCTCACTTTTATGAAAAATGTAAAAGAAAACTACGGTAGAATTGCCATTGGTTTCTGTTTCAAGTCATGTATAATAACATCTCAACTCGTTGAGTTACACCTCCTCTAGGATCCTTCAACCAAGGAAGTTATGATGAACCGATAGCTGTCAGTCCTATACAACTTTCATAAACCACCGTCATGTCATTAATTAGTCACTCATCCATACCTCACTTATGAGTATTTTCCTCAACCGTTTTGATCACCATATCGATTAAGTTGGAATATGACCACCTGTCTATATAACTGAACATTACTCCCACTGTGTTAGTTGCTTGACAGTATTCATCCCCCATTCTACCTATGCATTCTATTCTGTTGCCTAATGACAATTTACTCCTTTTATTGTGTCTCTGACCTTAATCAATATCGTTAGATAAATTCACTAATCCAGATTCCCGATCATAACTTTTGCTACCTCACTTCTGTTATTTTGTCCATATCCTTAAACATTGATACGTTCTGATAGACACAGTTATCTTTGAGCTTCTCTTCTATTGGTCCGCCCGTATCCACACCTTTCTCTATGCCTCGGCCCTGACCCCGGTAGAGAACTCTATATTTCAATTACCTAGCATGTAACTCAAACGCTCATTAGCTCTCTATATACATAGATTACCATACCTCAATGCACCCCGAATGTCAAATAACACTTTCTATACAATCGTGCAATCAGTGCCAGAAAATAGAGCAAACAGTACTTAATTAATTAGCCATAATTCGGTCAGTCAATCAGTCATACGCAGCGTACAACTTAACACATGTGCATCGATTCAAGTTACCATACCACAATAGCACAAAGCGATAAAATTGTTTCAAGACAAATCATGGAGAAGTATGAGCAGTACCAATATCATTAGTACTATTAATAGTATTATAATAATTTAGGTACTTAAAAATGAAGAAGTGCAAGAACATTTCAGGATTCAGATTCTGAAGGAAAACAAGGGGGAAACACACTTGCGCTATTGCAAACGATTTTGAGCTATTTCAGATAGAGTCTCTAACCGTTGGTTACGAGAACCAAGGAGTCCACATGTATTAACATTTACTTTTTACTTACGCCTGTTACTCCCAATGGAGCATAGGCCGCCGACCAGCATTCTCCTATCCACTCTGTTTTGGGTGTTCTTTTCTAGTTCTATCCGATTGTTGTTCATTGTTCTCATGTCTATCTCCATTTCTCGGCGTAATGTGTTCTTTGATCTTCCTCTTCTCCTTTGGCCTTGAGGATTCCATGTGAGGGCTTGTCTTGTGACGAGATTCGGTGCTTTCCTCAGTGTGTTTCCTATCCTAACTCGATAAAAAACGCTAAACAGAAAAAAAATAATTCAAACCATCTGTTAACGTGGCTCAGTCTAATTGTCAGTAACTGAATGGACTGATCTCATATCTGGGTTTGACCGCTTCTAGCTTTCTTGCTGCCTATTCCTACATCCAGGCAATATCCCAAGCGAAGTAGGCGGTGGTGAGGCATACGTAACACAGCAACCACTTCAATTGATGAATATTTACTACTTCATCAATCAATTTGTTATATTTACTTAGTAGTATTAATTAAACAACAATAAAACATATCACATTACTTAATAGGTCCACTAGAAGCTTAAAATAAGTGGAATTTAGAAATGTACTGCTGAAGCCTCTGTTCTATTACACACACACACACACACATCTTGAGTTGTTGTCGTTACCAATCTTAATGGAAATACTATTAATGAAATCACTAACAAAGTGCTTCTAATCTACAAGTTAACATTTAACAAAACATTTTTGTTATTATGTTCTTGTGTGGTTGCTTAGTAGTAGTAGTAGTAGTAGTTCCCTGTTTCATTTCATTTGAGTATAGAGTTTCCTTTTTGGAAATAGTTTACATTAATAAACAAAACATTGAAAAACACAAAAATTTTTTAAAGTTTAAAAACATTGTTCAATAAAACAAAACAAGCATAATCATTTATTATAATACTGTGCTACTAAATATTTTGTTGTTCCTTTTTTATATTGATCATGTTTTGATTACCTCTTCAATTTATTTATTTGAACACATAAATATTGATAGAAAGGGGCACCGAATACATATGCACCACAAAAGTCACTTGATTTGTGTGTGGGCTGTGATACTGCCTGGGTACCGAGATCGAAGCAGGTAGTTTTCTTAGGAGGCCACACCCAGAACCTTCGAAATAAAGGTCTGATCCATAGGGCGGTGGAGCAACATTAGAAGATGCAGTCCCATTGTAGCGGATGACCAACAATTGGTTCCTTCAGGATCCTGTAGCCCATGTGGAGCATTAATTTGGAATCAGGATCTTCCAACTCCCCTAGGTGAACTCTCCGTGTTCACCAACCCAGTTAAAGTGCCGAACTTTCGTTTTTCGTCCTCTCAATTTCGTAAACGACACCTCCGCCACAAGGTGGTAGTGATTGTGTGCAAGTGGCCATGTGAGAGTATTTCGAGACGGAGAGCTGACTCTTCCCACCCTCGTCCGTACCAGGGCATTTTAGGGCAATAAATTCATCCTTTCATTGTTTTTTTTTCTTAAATTGAAGATTTCTTTCTAGAAATAGACATCTATAAATATGACAGTTTTTCAGCTCTAGTTAAAAGAAAATAACACTGTTCATTTAGATAGCGAGAGAGGAAGTGAACTGGAATATTTGACTTGATTTTTTTTTAAGAAAAAGAAGTAGTTTTAATAAAGGGATTCAAGTATCTGGACTGAAACTATCGATTAATGACATCCCTTTTCGAATTAGTGAATATTCGATAATTATAACGTGAAAGAAACCGTGCTCTCTGTGGATCAATTCCATTCTACGATACTGTTTTGTACATTTTTGTTAGTAGTAAATCAAAAGATTTTTTTATTTCTATAGTGAAGCATTATTCCTTCAGTATTTGCTGTCAATGCTAAGATGTATCCATGTGGCTTGTGTTTGAAATCCCCTGCTATCAAAAGTCAATATCCTACTTGTTTTTGTTACTCTATGCCTAGTCCAACTTCAGCTTGATATTATACAGTATCGGATCAGAAGCTGGATATCGGTTTGATTTCCGATCATCATCGCTTTTCAGGGCTAGTCGATTTGACAAATGAGTTGTTACACAGTCTAATGGCTTCTCACTTTCATCTCTACCACCCTCCTGTCTGGATCAACCAATTCCTTTGTTGGTTTCTTGGGAGTATAAAGTTACCTTCTTCATCATGCAACACTAGGTCCGCTAACCAAAAGTGACTTCCTTGGCACTCAAATTCCATGCAAAACTTTTCAAGTTTGTGTTACAGTAATCGAATTTCGTTCATCCATACGATAATTGATCCCGGAATGCCAAAGCACTGGTGTCAAATTATTGATCTATTTCAGAAATGGTGCTATCAAAAAACAATCAACAATTAATTAACAACTAACTGTTGATATTTCTTTGCATTAAAGGAAATGTTTTCCAAAAAAACTGTATTTGACCACAACCAACCATGACGTTCACTGCTTGATCGCATAGATGATTTATTTGAGGTAATGGCGATATAAACTCATTCGCTCGTGGCCCTAGCTACGTTAGGAAATATAGACATCTTGATAACGAACCACACGATTACTAGAATCCATGGTTGGATGCATTGTGTAACATGGCTCGAATTCTGTCACAGTCGAGCAGTTTCATTTATCCTTTATTTTTCCCTAAATATTTACTTCCTAACATTTCACACTTCAATTACGTTTGATTATCACTTCTGAACTTCATTTCTCATATTTACATATTCAGTGTAGTTGAAATTCATTGCCTAACTTCTTCCACCTTCCATTTTTATTCTAATAATGACTCGTTTTACTACTTAATAATTTTTTCAAGTAGTTTAAAATCGAATTGAGTCATTTTCGTACCACGTTAATTTGCTGACGACTTTTTCAGAGACGTCAAACCATCCAACATCCTTGTAAATCGTACAGGTGATGTGAAATTATGCGATTTCGGTGTAAGTGGTCAACTGATCGATTCTTTGGCTAATTCATTTGTTGGCACAAGAAGTTACATGGCACCGGAACGTTTAACAGGTGAACAATACAATACATTAAGTGATGTATGGAGTTTGGGTTTGTCATTAGTTGAACTGGCAACTGGTCGATATCCGATTCCAGCGATTGAAGATGAAAACGTTTATTTAAGTGCTTTCAATTCACATCGAGATGTAAACTTGGAACAACATTTAGAAGCAGCTAAAGAAGGGAAGCCACTTCCTGGTAAGAAATTACTTATTTATTTTGAAATTATTTTGTTAGACCAATATAACAATATATAGGCTGTAACTCAATTTCTCAAGCACAGATTTATAAATTCAACTTTGATCAGTAATTTGAATACTGAAATGAACCTGCATTATGCTTAAACTATTGGTAGCGAGTGAAACAATTGAATACATTAGCCAGTTCACTCATCGATGTGAAATTTGTTTAGATTGTTGAATTTTATTGAGATCATGAACCAATCCAAATTAAACACCCACTGAACACCTTAAAGCACTAGACAGCTGTCCCGTCCGAATGCGATACCTCTCAACAGTGCTTATCCACAACCACACGAGCGGGAATTGAGCCCAAGACATTCAGTCTCATCCATGATCGCTTAATCTCTGCACCACTGAGATGGCATCCAATAGTGTGTAATTTTAGCTTCGATTAGTCCGCGATATTGTACAGCCATCTTCCACTGTCTTCAGTAAGTGCCTTCCCCACGTCTTACATATTTGGACACCGTTAGCTACGACTTCGTTCTAAAATATTCTTAGCTTCAAGAGTGGGTTCGTGGATACACCCTTCTGAGGAGTCCCCCACCAGGTCGAGATGGCTGCTTAGTAATCCCCTGATTTTAATAGTTGTCTGATTTAGATTGGTACTTACTTACTTACTTTACTTACTTACGCCTGTTACTCCCAATGGAGCATAGGCCGCTGACCAGCATTCTCCAACCCACTCTGTCCTGGGCCTTCTTTTCTAGTTCCATCCAATTCTTGTTCATTTTTCTCATGTCTATCTCCATTTCTCGGCGTAATGTGTTCTTTGGTCTTCCTCTTCTCCTTTGGCCTTGAGGATTCCATGTGAGGGCTTGTCTTGTGACGAGATTCGGTGCTTTCCTCAATGTGTGTCCTATCCACTTCCAGCGCTTCTTCCTGATTTCTTCCTCTGCTGGGATCTGGTTTGTTCTCTCCCACAGTACGTTGTTGCTAATAGTGTCTGGCCAATGGATCTGAAGTATTTTGCGTAGACAGCTGTTAATAAGCACCTGTATTGTCTGAATGATGGCTTTTGTAGTTCTCCAGGTTTCTGCCCCATACAGTAGAACTGTCTTGACATTTGTATTGAAAATCCTGACCTTTGTGTTGGTTGACAGTTGCTTTGAGTTCCAGATGTTCCTCAGTTGTAAATATGCTGCTCTTGCTTTGCCGATCCGCCCCTTCACATCTGCATCAGATCCACCCTGTTCATCAATGATGCTGCCTAAATATGTAAATGTTTTTACATCTTCCAAATCTTCTCCGTCAATTGTGATTGGATTGGTGCATGCTGTGTTGTATCGGAGAATCCTGCTTTTCCGTTTGTGTATATTGAGACCTACTGCTGCTGAGGCTGCTGCCACACTGTTCGTCTTCTCCTGCATCTGTTGTTGCGTTTAGGATAGAAGGGCCAGATCGTCTGCGAAGTCTAGATCATCCAACTGCATCTTAGATGTCCATTGTATCCCGCGCTTCCCTTCAGACATTGACGTGTTCATGATCCAGTCGATCACCAGGAGAAAGAGAAAGGGTGAGAGTAAGCAACCTTGCCTAACACCGGTCTTCACTTCGAACGACTTTGTCAACTGTCCTCCATGCACGATTTTGCAGTGTAATTCATCATATGAGTTCTGTATGATATTGACTATCTTCTGAGGCACGCCGTAGTGTCGAAGAAGTTTCCATAGTGTTGTTCTGTCCACGCTATCAAATGCCTTTTCGTAGTCAATGAAGTTGATGTAGAGTGATGAATTCCATTCAATTGATTGTTCCACAATGATCCGTAGAGTTGCGATTTGGTCTGTACACGATCTATCCTTACGGAATCCTGCCTGTTGGTCACGAAGTTGAGCGTCTACGCAGTCCTTCATCCTGTTTAACAATACCCTGTTGAAGACGTTTCCCGGTATTGAGAGAAGAGTGATGCCCCTGTAGTTATCACACTTGCTGAGATCGCCTTTCGGTATTTTGACCAGAAGTCCTTCTTCCCAGTCTTTTGGTACTTGTTCCTCATCCCAAATCTTATTGAAGAGAACATGGAGTATCCTTGCAGTTGCCGCTACGTCTGCCTTTAGTGCCTCTGCTGGGATGTTGTCCGGTCCTGCTGCCTTGCCACTCTTGATTTACCTGATGGCCATGCTGATTTCTTCAATTGTTGGTGGGCTAACATTGATTGGGAGGTCTGTGGGTGCTGCTTCGATGTTGGGTGGGTTCAGTGGAGCTGGTCGATTCAAGAGTTCTTTGAAGTGTTCTACCTACCTGTTTCGTTGTTCTTCAATGTCGGTGATTACCTTTCCTTCCTTGCTTTGTTTACTTCTGTGTATTCAGCTTGTGCCTTGGCTTTTTCTGCTCTTTTTCGACTGATATTGATTGCTGCCTTCTTGTTCCTTCTTTCTTGAATCTTATCCAGTGTATCAACAGTGATCCATTCCTTGTGATGGTGCTTCTTGTGACCCAGGACCTCATGACATGTTGAAGTGATTGCCTCTTTGATCCCCTTCCAGTTGCTCTCCACAGTAGTTCCTTCTCCATTGAGTAGATCATGAAAGGCCTGGAACTTGTTGCTGAGGACTATCTTGAATTTGTTGAGTTTGTTAGTATCCTGAAGAAAGGCCGTATTGAAGTTTTGTGATGTTGTCCGCCCCGTCGTCCAGTGCTTCTTCACTTTGAATTTCATCTTGGCGACCAGCAAGTGATGATCTCAGGCTATATCAGCTCCTCTCTTCGTTCTCACATCCTCCATCGTCCTCCTGAACGTTTTGCTGATGCAGATATGGTCGATTTGGTTTTGTGTAGAGTGATCCGGTGAAGTCCATGTGGTTTTGTGTATGCGTTTATGTGGGAATATAGTGCCGCCTATGACCAGCTTATTGAAGGCACATAGGTTTGCAAATCTCTCACCATTTTCGTCCCTTTCTCCCAGTCCGTGTCGTCCCATGATGTCTTCATATCCAGTGTTGTCCGTTCCAACCTTGGCGTTGAAATTTCCCATCAGAATGGTCGGGTCCTTTGTTGGGCACTGTTCGACGATTGACTGCAGCCTATTGTTGAATTGATCTTTAGCGTCTTCATTGTAGTCGTTGGTAGGCGCATAGCATTGGATGATGTTCATTGAAATGCTCTCTTTCTTTGTTTTGAAGGAGGCTTTGAAGATCCTTGGTCCATGAGATTCCCATCCCATAAGTGCATTTTGTGCTCGTTTGGACAGCATCAATGCAACTCCTTGTGTATGTGGTGCATTTTCTTCTTCATGGCCGGAGTATAACAGGAGCTCTCCTGTAGTTAGTCGTTGTTGTCCAACTTGTGTCCAATGTGTTTCACTGATCCCAAGTACCTCTTGGTTGTATCTTCTCATTTCTGCAGCAATCTGGAAGGCTCTCCCGGTGTCCCACATTGTACGAACATTCCATGTACCTAAATAAATGGTCGCTCTGGTTGTCAGAAGGGGCATCGGCCTCGTAACTTCCGAAGGAATTCGGCTTTCATCATGAGGCGTCATAATTCTTCTAAATGAAGACCTTCTGACTCCCAGGGTAGAGTTTAAAAGGTTTGAATAATTTTTTCTGGTTAGCGTTTTTTTAGCGAGTTAGTTTTCTACGGGATGGGGACGCTAACCCCATGCCCAACCCTCCTCCTTTATCCGGGCTTGGGACCGGCAGTAGCCCTCGGAGGGACTCCAGGCGGAGTTATTTAGATTGGTACGTGATATAAATAGGCCACTTTAACTCTGATGATTTGGTCATTGACAAAATTTCAACATGGATTTAAATACTTTCCGTGGATTTTGCCAACTTACGTTGCTTATAACGTTGGCGAGTTTTTAATCTGCAAACTATGCGGCGAGTATACCTCTCAGTAGTCTGCTCTGTATTACTCTATGGGTGTGAAACATACTTTATTAGATTAGAAGCTTTTAGATGATTAACGTCTTCGAAGCATTGTTGCGTTATCATGGAGCGACCACTCGAATAGTGTTAAGGTTAAGCTTAGAGTGCTTAGCAAAGGTGTATAGTCAATCGGTGATGTTAACCACTATCAACATATACTCAACCACCTACCTCAACGTGAAATACTGTCTGACGTAGCAGTATATTGGAGGAATGCTACGGACGGTCAAATTAAAGAGTAGCATCAATCCCCGAAGTTATTGACAATCGGACTGAACGATGTAGATAGGTGCAGACTACCTGGTTGGGGTCCGCGTGATTATTGTAACTTTGAGTAGCATAGCTGAGAAACAGTCATCATAGTCTAAATTTGCTTACTCTTTATGTGTCCCTAGATCGAAAGTTTCGAAAGTACTTGAAACTTGTTATTTTGTGAATTCACCATTTCTTTTCGAATAATATTCCTTGTACCCTGTTGTTTTTTTTAAAGACTAGTGCTACTACTAACTCGGTATTCATATTATTAATTTCATCTCATTGTACCGATTTCATGTAGCAACTTTTTTTGCAAGGGGAGAGAGAGAGAGCTAATAGTTCCAAGAGGTTGGCAAAACCGATGTTGGTAGATTACCAGGGTTATACTATGCAACCGATTCATAAACGTACATGCCAAACTTTTAACATTAATAGAAGTGTTAGTAAAATCAGCAACTAAATAACACTGATTGAATTTCGCTCGTGATTTATAGTGCACTTTCTTAGATGTTTTCATTTTATTCTGACGACATTAAATAAATTAGCTTCGTGTAATAAGTTAATTGACAAATTAACATTGAGTTTTCATGTCACTCAAAGTTTAAACCAAAGTCAAATGAGCTATGGATATGGAAAAATCTATAGAGATAACCTGTTTTGTTACAAATTAGTTTATCTATTTTTGATGATCAAATGAAAGGTATTGAGACTGGTGGACTACGTGATGAAGAAGCGATATATCACTGATGTCATTGGATGATAATATCTTAATATCGCGTTTCGATTGAATTCGAAAATTGTTCAATACTTGAATCAGTCTCTGATGAGCTTAGTACATCCACATTCATGAGGAGTCTCATACTACGATGAAACAGTTATACAACACTCCCTCGTTCTCAAAAACTGTCTAAAAGTGGACAATGAAGTCAGCAATATTTATAGGTATAACTCCGGTTTCGTCCTATTCGAAACTCATCAGCTGGATGTAGCTAGACCTCACTGTTGATGTTTACCACGTTGGGATTTGAACCCAATGCTTGTCACTTTAACATTAGGCAGATACAAGCCAATCGAACTGCATTCTTGAATTTCAATAATGGAATAATTTAAACCTTCACTAATAATGATATATCGGTGTGTATGTCCAGCGTCTTAATCATTTTGTTTTAATTTTTTTCAACTATAGCTGTCAACAGTCCAAGTTCCGGTCCAATGGCAATATTTGAACTTTTATCCTATATTGTAGATCAACCACCACCTCGTTTACCAAAATTTTGCTTTTCTGATGATTTTATCGATTTAGTTGATTCATGTCTTCGACGTCCAGCTAGTGATCGACCTTCTTTAGAAAATCTTTTAAAGCATAGATTTGTTGTAACAGCAGCTGGTGCATGTCCATCAGGTAATGTTCAACGTCAAAGTACAGTAATAGATATTCGACAAACAGGTGGAATTGTTGATTCAAATCAATTTGAAGATCCAATTAATATTGGACATTATCTTTGTTCTGTATTACCATCAATGTCAAATGATGATGGAACTAATCAAAGTTCTTTTTAATTTCTTTCATAATATATAATCATTAATCATTATAGATATTTATCTGTATTACATCATTGAATGAGGAAACCATAAAGAATAACAAATAGTCATCAATGTGCACACGTTTGTGCGTCTCTCTCTCTCTCTCTGCATGTGTGTGTGTGTGTTTTACTCATTTCAAAACCAATGATGAACATTCAGATCAATAATTTGTATTACATGTACCCTTGTACTTGGTTTTTACATTTTATTATCTTTTAAATTTTTTTCTTTTTTTTATTATAAAAAACCAGTTTCCTTGGTAACTTTTTGTAAATAATTTTGCTTGTTTTCTTTTTTTTCTGAAAAAGAAGAAAATTTTTTTTATTTTTATTTTGTCATATTATGATGCATAATTGTGAATTGATAATGTGACAGTAAAAAAAAACAAGAAGAAAAAAACCCAAATTTGATCAAGTTTTTTTTGTTTGTCTCTGTTTTGTTTGTTTGTTTTCTTATTTCTTCTCTCCTTTTTTTGTTGTTGTTGTTGTTGTTGTTGAGATGGATTGTTTAAGTGAAGAAAAAAAGTAGAAAAAAAACAAACAAACATCCTGTTGAATAAACTTTTTGAAAAAAATTTTTTTTTACTATTTAAAAGGATCACATATTGTACTATTTAGAATGGTAACTATTGACTTGGATACTATTTACATCTGTTACCTATTATGGGAGGGGAGTATAAACCTCCTATCAGCATTCTTTATATCCTGTGGATATTAATCCTTTTCAGTTTCATATTTTAAAAGTAACAAGCTCATTTCTCTATTATGAGCTTATTTCATTTATATTCAACATTTCATATTGTGAAGTATATTTTTTAATCATCATTCATTGATCCTTAATCAATTATCTATGTATGCATGGTAATTGTTGGTTTCTATCTATTATATGTAACAAAGAAAAAGAAAAGAAACAATAAAAAGATGTGAAAAGTTGATTATTGAATAATCGATTCATCTATCTAATCTCTTTCTTTCTTTCTTTCTTTCTTTCTTTCTGTTTCTTTTTTTTCTTCTTTTAAATCTACACTTTAAAACCAATATTTTACGTGATATAATTTTGTTTACAATGGGGGTTATTCTATTCCTCTTTTTGTGTATATTTATATGCAGCATACACACTGTGATGCAATAAATACCTATTTATTTATCTAACGTATTCACTTTTTTTTTGCTTTAATCATTGCTTTAATCAATTTTTTTGACCAGAAAGTATAGATAAGTGATGTTGTGTAGAAATAAACCTGAAAACTCTTTATCTCATTCAATTCTCCTTGTATCTTCATGTAGAAGTAGTAGTCTAAGACTATCAAATCTGAGATAATTTCAGTAGTTGAGATGATAAGTCAATTAAAGCTAGACCACTATGGAAAACCTGGAAGCACTGGACGGCGGTTTTGTTCTACTGTGGGATCCCGTCGGGATACGATTCTCTCCCTCGAAATGCAAAATGTTACTTCAGGATTGGGTTACATCGACACCCGAACTAGTGATAGAGAGTGAAGTAATTGAGCGTGTCGATCGCTTCACTTATCTCAAAAGTCTCATCAGCCCTTGTGGTCTGGTGTGTGACGAAATCTCAGCACGTATACAGAAGGCTCGACTAGCTTTTACCAACTTGCGTCATTTATGGCGTAGGCGAGATATCCGTCTATCAACTAAAGGACGGGTTTACTGCGCAGCAGTTCGTTCCGTCCTACTTTATGGCAGTGAAACATGGCCGGTAAGAGTAGAGGATATTCGTAGGTTACTAGTATTTGATCATAGGTGTCTTCGAAACATTGCTCGTATATCCTGGAACCATCGAGTAAGTAATGCAGTTGTTAGGAAACGGGTACTAGGTAAGGATGGCAAATCAATTGATGAAGTAGTGAAACTTCATCATTTGAGATGGCTGGGACATGTGTTACGTATGCCCGACCACCGACTGCCTCGATATGTGATGTTTTGTTGTATAGGAGTAGAATAGAAGAAAGCTAGAGGCGGCCAGATCAAAACATGGCACAAGTCCATGAAGTCACTGACAAGTGGACTGAGTCATATTGGTAGGTATAGACTACGTGGTTGGGGACCACGAAATGATAGCAACCGATGGTTAGAGACCGTGAATGACATGGCTCAAAATCGTTTGCAATAGCGCAGGTGTATCCACTCTCTGTGTTCTCCCAAATTTTGATCTCCTTATTCCTCCTTGTCTCTTTTTTTCTCCTCTCAAATTTATTTCACTGTATTATACTCTTTAAGTAACATCTCCAAACACTAATCTTCCCGATTACTGCTTATACTCTTATTACCTCTATCACTACGGGATTTGAATCGACAACTGCATCTCTCTGCTAATGTGGTGTGGCAACTCAAACTGATGTACGTACGTACGAAGTTCTACGTTGTTACTGACTGACTGGGATCCCTTAGCAGTGCGCATCCACGATCCCCCCCCTCGAGATTCGAACCCAGGACCTAGCTTCAATTGACTCATGAACTAAACTATTGAAATCACTATAATATCCAAAAACGCCCCTTCTGATATTAATCAACATATGCTTAGTAGTGACTGGGTTCTTGGAGTTCTAATGAGAAGCATTGATCAGTGGAGTTCAACCAGGTCTGTTGTGAAATAGTAACTCAGTGAAGGCAATGATGGATGTATCGCTCGATTTCATGGATTAATTGAAGTTTGACATTAACACAATTGAATGCCGGCTCAGTGGTCTGATGGTTAAGCTCGCAAGACTGATAGGTCTTGTGTTTGAATCTCGTGAGGCGTTATCGTGAATGCGCACATATGAAGAGTTCAACAATGGGACGAAAGGGCCGTACAGTACTTCCAGGTTTTCCATGGTGGTCTAGCTTTAATTGGCTCATAATCTTAACTATTAAAATTACTAACCCCTTCAGATAATTTAAGATTATTTTAAGGACACAGCACTTAACAATTTATTGATCACCAAGTAATGATCAATATCATGTTTATCTGACTCTGTAGTAATAGTTGAATTCTATTTGTGGCCTTACAATGTGACGATGAATTTGATTGATTGAACATCGCATGCACTATGTTGCGATGTTAGCTGGTTGAAAGTAGTCAACAGGAAACCCTTAGATAGACAAACTACATTAGTTACTACTCAGTGATCATTCGAAATATTTTATCCCTCTACAGGATATCACTCGCTATCAGATTTGTGCAAGGGTAACATCTCAGACTTTGAAACTGAGTGACGCAGGTTTTCACCACATAGGAAGCATTGATTCCCTCAATATTAAAGGTGTCCCTTCCATGCGAATGCTAGATGTCACGAAACCTATGTCGAATAGGGCCTAGTATCGACTATCCATTATTGCCTACCAAACAGTAGTTTATATTAAAATCCTCGTTAATGGTGTTTGGAACCAAACTTCATCTGCTGTCTTTTAAACCTTAGAAGATTACCTATGGTCATTTCTATACACTCGACACGACTGATTTTTCTGTAATCTATCGCCGTATATATTTACCAGATATCAGCACTGCACTCTGAATGTTCATAACCTTTAGAAAATTTAATTTTGACAGGATCACAGTTAGATTTCCAAACTGCCCCACATTATTTTGACTTCAAGGAAACTATTCATGATCTTCAGATGTAACTAAGTGATCTGTGATCTGACTATAACCCTAAGGAACATAACACTAATTGAATTTTACTCGTCTTAGACAGGTTAGCTTTCACGATCTGAACATACATAGGGAATGTTCAGTTTTTTAAAAGATCTATCATATGTAAAGAATCACTTTTACATGTATGGACATCAGTGAATCAAAACTCAGATCTCAACTCTTATCTATAAATCTTGAGTATCTATCCCATGCTTTAAAAGGCTGGAGTTCCACTCAACACATACATAAATCCTAGTTTTCACTTGTGAACAACGAGTCAGTATTTTAAATATAACGATTTTGTGTCTCTTCTCAGCTTGACCTTGTGTATCCCTACATGTCATTTTTTAAGAAAAGTGTTTACTACATAAATGATATTCATAATTGTCTCCTGACAAATTTTATTTGAAACGTTATACTACTTAAAACGACTAGTAAGTAGCTTTCCAATTTACGATTACCGGACTGACCAACTAGATAAAATAACAATTTAGAATAAGTATACAATCACAAAATATTCAATTTGATTATTTCCCCTATGTATGTCCTATCCACTTCCAACGTCTCCTACTTTCCTCTTCACCGGTAAGCTGGTTTGTTCTCTCCCACAGAAGGCTGTTGCTGGTGGTATCTGGTCAACAAAGGACATTGATTATATTGCATAGACAATTGTTTATAAATACTTGTACATTTTTGATGATGGTTGTAGTAGTTCTCCAAGTTACAGTTCCTTACAGTAGAACTAACCAGTTTGACGTTCATGTTGAAGATCATGACTTTGATATTGGTTGTTTAACTATAGGACTGAGATCCTTACTTTGAAAACCCTCGCCTTTACGCGTGCATCCGAAGAACACATTACGTCGGGAAATAAAAGCAGATATGAAAAGGATGAATAACAACTGGAAAGGATTATCCAGGACAGTGTTCAATTGAGAATGCTTATGAGTGGCCAACGCTTCTTTTTGAGGAGTAACAGGCGTAAGTAAGTAAATATAGTTATCTAATAGAAATCATATCATAAAGCTGAATCTAATTCAATGATTATTTTGGCTTTATTCATACTCTTAAAAGGAATCAATGGTATAAAATAATATTGATGAGGGTTCTGTAGTAACCATATTGATACTATTCGTATCTTTTTTTTAAAATTGACTCATTAAAACTTTTAAGTTAGAAACAAAATTAAAATAGAAATAATGGATGTCATATGAAATGTGGACTGGCTCAAACTGGTTTATTTACAAAAATTCTATTTCTTATTCTAATTAATCTACTTTGAATATAGTTTTTCTGATATAAAAATAAACAATATAAGCAAAGATGGTTAGTGGCTAGCAGTGGAATCCAGTTTGACGTGCGTTTCGTCATATTTGTGAGCCGTCAGCTGGATGTACCTCTGCATCTCAGAGTTGATGTTCATTCTGAGACTCGAATCCAGTATCATTAGCTTCAAACGCGAATTGTATTATCCACTCACCTACTGATTCCTGATAGCCACTTGCTTGTGCAGTGGGGTGAATTTAAATTTACTTGATATTGTTTTACTTGCATCTTCCCATTGAGGTTTAAGACAGCAGTTGAAACGAAACACGCGTTCTGGATTCCACTGCTAGCCACTATCCATCTTTGCTTATCAAGCTTGTGAATTAAAGCAATATCGAGGCAATACGCACAGTATGTATATATGCCAATAACAGACTGATCAATTGCAGTCTTAAATCTCAATGGAAAGTCAGAGACGTTACCACTGACCTATCCGAGCCGCGACCGACCTCCTGTAGGACTGAGATGTGATCACAATTGATTGATCACTGAGTGGCAATCAATGTCATTTGTGTCTAGTCCTTATTAGTGCAGATCGAATGCTATTGATCATGTTGCAATGTGGCCACCAGTCTAGGTGACCCAACATTGCGGGCACTATATATTGAGATTAGATGGTGGTTGGAGGTAGTCGACAGGAAACCTTGAAACCCGGGTCCATCAGCGAAAACAGATAGCTCAGATGATGTGCAGTCTGGAGTTACGTAGATATTGGTAACAAACATATTTGTATTTATTCAGATGTTTTGGACATCTTAGAGTTAGACAGTCGATAAAGTAACTTGAAAACTTGAAACACGCAAACGAAGATCGACACCATTTCACGTTTACAAACGTAGCTACACCACCACCACACCTCTTTTTATTGTTTGATCGATCCTGACGATAAATTTTGAAATAACTTAGTGATACTAGGCAGTCGTCCTGTAGATCATTTAACCAAGATTCTTGAATTGTGATGACACCACAATTACGATACATATTTTGACTTAGTAGGGATTGAAGATAGTCCACTTTGTTGATTAGTGATCGGCAGCTAGAATTTAGCAGCTCGGGAATCGACATATGCTTAATGTTCATTCTCTTTAATGCATATTGCCGACCGCTACAATGTCTTTTATAGTACTTTCTTGTAACTTATGCAGCGAATGGTCGTAGGCTTTTCATAAACGCGCCTGTATATGTTATGCGATTAATGGACATAATGAGAGGTTTAAAAAAAATGAAAAAAACAGATAACTTGTTGAAATAATTAGATGGCAGAAATAGGTAGCCCAG